ATTCAATACCGTGGCGTCTCCGTTTATCTGACTTGTCAATTAGGCACCACAAAATCCTGGTGAAATGGATATGTGTACTCTGGTGGAAGTACATCTTACATAGGTATCAAATTATAAGCATTTAAGTATTCAACAAAATGTATATCTCAAGGCAATCAATTAATACACAAAAAGGAACGATTTTGAATATGATATTTTTGCCAGAACCTTGAACACATTTAACTAACCCAGACTGAAACTTTAATCTCTAAGAATACATTACATGGAAAATGCAAATAACATCACGTATCGTAAACAAATCGGAAATGATAAATGGGTAAAATAAGCTCGTGTTGTAATGACCCATTCTCTGAGTCATTTCCAAGTCTCAAATTCAAAGACATTAGTTTTAATTGACAGTGTCAGACATAGAAACGATTCTTATTTTACACTGACTTTTTAATTTTATGTATTGAGATGAAGTGCTGGGCTTTGATAATGTCTAAAAATAGGCATCCTGTTGATTTCGCCCTGATTGGGAATATTGTTTCTTGATAAAAAAAATATGACTCATTTAATTGCATTGCTATGAAAGAATTTATGACATGACATTAAACTGAAAGTTCTTCGCCTTCAAAATGAGCAACAATTGTTTGGTATGTCCGAAACGTACACATCTTTTTTAGAATAAATCATTCCAAATATACGCTTAAGTAACAAGCTGACAAATTAGAATTGTCATTTTTTGCATGTCCCATAATAACGCTAAATCACCGAGTCCCACATGTACTCATGCAACAGGTAAGAACCTTGGCAATGCATAGTTTAATGTGTATGTACATATGTATCTATGTTCCACTGTCATTAGTGCTAAATAAATGTCACGACTCACATCTATTGATGCTGGATAAAGTAAATTCAGTCAATACTTTCAACACTGCGCAAGGTATTTGAGTCTAATAAGCCGTAGCTAACTTCAAGCTTGGCTTGCACAAAGCCCAAACTACATACTTATGCTTATATAATAAACACATAGTTATAAAATACAACTGAATTCGGAAGGTAAAGGAAGATCATACGCCAACCCTATTTAAAAACCTAATATCAAACAACCCAACGTTGTTGTTTGGGTCCAGCCATGCTTCCAAAGGAGCATCACATATGCATCATTCAATTTAAAAAATTGTTGGCTAATGGAAGCCTCATCATCATCATCATCATGCACATATGACGATCATAAAGGCAAATCATATCATAATAGACAACCTTGAGTAAGTGAGGCAATAATGAATAGTTGAAAGCAGCAGCTAAAAGGTAGACAGGAAGGAATGCATTGTGAATTGTGATGACATGGCGTTATGGGCCACCAAGTTATATCGTCCGTCTAAATGTGGTGGCTCACATTCCTGTGCAAAATTCTATATCCGAGTTCCCAAACTCGGTTTTAAGTATCGATCTAACGTTGCTAAAATTGCCCTGGTAGACCAATGTCAATGTTACACATCAGAGTCTATGTATTCAAAGAGGTGATTAAAGTCAGAGCAAAAACTTGTTAAATACTTGCATGGCTATGTTGGATGAATCATCATCATCGAAACACCAGTAGCAGTCAGCACTCCTGAGTAAACTAAATGCACATGTAATACTTTTGCCTTGATTTACATTCCTGCAGTTGAATCAAACTTTGTCGGTTTTCAGCCAGAAAAGGAACAGTTTTATGACTTGGATGTCATTTCTATGTACATAGAAGCTTAACTACGGTTAGTTGTCGAGATCTGGTCCATCTCTAATTAAAAACCTGATCTTTCAACTCTTTTCATTTTGTAAGGGATTCAGGATGAATTAAATAAATATCCGCTAACGGAACAAAACTTCAAAGGAAGAATACATAGGTCCTATTTCATGCCGTCCTATTATATTGCTGTTCTAATCTGATTATGATTTCAATTTGACTTAAGACATTTCATTCTTGATTTAAATTTCAAAGGCACCAATTTAGCTTACGTGGTGAAAAGCTCATTGGATTTCAATCACTTGGTTTTTTCTCCAAGACACAAGCACCTAACTAAATACGTACGTAAATGTTGATCAAAGTCGTCCGTTTTCTTTTCTTGTAAGCTGATCATCATTTAACCGTTCATTGCTTCTCATTGTCCCACACACCTAACACAAAAGTCTCGTAACATACAAATCATCGTAGCCAACCACAAATTTAGAGACCTACAGCTCCACAAAATCCTGAAGCCTTTTCTGTGCAATTAGTGTGACGGAAACTAAAACCCCTGTAATTGAACTGTCAATTGTATCAGTGGGAAAGATGTAAGCTAATCTTAAGATATGAGGTACACTGGCTCCGCTTGGTCCAGCCCACGAAATCTAAGCAAAGTCCAAACCAACATGGGCACAATTATGTTAACTGCTGCTCTACTAATTATGCGAACAATTAAAGCTTTCCATGCTTGGATTCGTTGTTACTTGCATGCATAGTCAGCTTAGGCAATTTGACTTCAGTCCTGCCGATTAAATGTCAGACTAAAATTCAACAAACTAATTAGTAGTGCAAGCAGTTAGTTAATTTGGTGAAGTGCTTAGGAAAGTATGCACACGTAGCAAGTAGGAATCATAGGAATAATAACTTCATAATAATTATGATAAATAACAGTATGACTTTTTGGTAACAAACTTCATTTCTAAATTACGCGTATATGTACGAACCATGACATTTCTTGCCTACATAGTAGCTAAGAGAATTTCCAAATTATACGAACATAATAATACAGATTTAATGAGTACCAAGCCGTTGTCGGAATGCAGGTTGACATCATCATTCCGCCAAGGGCACTATTTTCAGTTGCATAAAGCGTGACACCTGTTTTTGAATTTATTTTTTACAAGACCATAAATCATATAAACTTGCAGTGGAAGGTTGTACAAAGAATTCAAAATTATATTTTTACAAATAATTGTGCATTTTTCAGTTGTTCTCATTAAATGCAATGTTTTCAGTTCTGTTCATGATTTTTTTTACAGAGCAATAGTAGATGGTGGACAAGTGACAAACGTGCATATGTACACAAAATAAATAAATAAATCCTCCTTCACAGTTCAGAGTTTTGCTGGGCACATCGGGAGGAGGAAGATCGAGCAGTGCACAACGCATAGTAATTCGCATGAACAAGTGCTGTAGTGAGTCGTGTAAAAGTGCTACTGGCATCCAAACCAAATCTGATAATAAATTCTTTACTCTCACTTGAATCATGAATTAGAATAAATCTGACTTTTAGATGTGAACTTGAGACCAAAGATTTGGGTCGAAGCCTCGAACTACACTGAGCCATGACATTAGTATTATTATATCTACGAGAATCATAGATAGAATACTTTACGAATCTATGTATTGCGGATTTGCAGAATAATAATGTTTGGTCTTTCAGTACAAGGTCATCCTGTGTTGGGTTAAAGAGTGTAATTGGTGTTTAAATACGAGGATCATTCAGGCACTCCCAGGCATCATCCTCCGTAATACCTATATATAAGCATGGATGACGATATTCGTTTTATTAACTTTTCGCAAACTAGTGCAATATTCCTTAAATTGGAAGATGATGGTCGCATCAATTTAACAACGTCGTCTCAAATTTGACTTAAGGTATCATGAGATTTAATTGTGTCTCATTATCGACATCATCAATCTCTGAGTTATATCGTATTTTATCTTCATCATTTCCAATTGAATAATCAACCGGCATGGATGTGATACAATAAAGATACGTACGTACTAGTTGGAATATAATGTATGTATGTACGCCATTGTTGTGACAGGATGTTGAATTATGGGCCTATTTTTATTAACTTGTTGCAATTAATGAGCCGAGAATTATATCAACGGGATCCACAATTAAGCTATGTATAAACCCAACACTACATTATCTATGTGTGTATATAAGCATAGGCTCACACTCCAGTTAAAATTATTCATGTCTGTTACTGATTAGATCACCATCTCCTTCTTTACGCATTAATTACCCCGACAAAAGTCACATTGGATTGAGTGTACATGAAGCAACAGGCAGGGGTAAATTGGCTCGCCATATAAAGTAAGAGGAATTTTAGCACAACAATACAAGTACAAATTGCTTCATTTTCCATTCCAACGAGCACAATGGACACAAACTACGGTAACTTTGTGCATTGCAAGGAAGAAGAAAAAACCAGAATGAACTTTTACAAGACTATTCTTCCCTGGTGGAATGCGTGGCGTAGTATTTATTCTCACGAGATATGCATTGTTGTGAAACTTTCATTTCGCATTTTATGACCCTTGATCCTTGTCTCAAGTTTTTTATGTGTCATTTGAATAAACTAATATATAAATATGATGGAATTATTGGCATTAATTAAATTACGTGGTATTTTTTATTAAGATTAAAGAGAGGTCAATGAAGTAGCATATCCGAATAATTTACGCAAACTCAATTGACTAAAACTTGTGATGACAGTATTCATATGTTTTGCAGTATTTGTTATATCGTCGTCATTTATTAGGCCAGCCAATTTAGTTGGCATTAATCAAGTGTATGTACGAACTGATGTGTATAATAAGAGCCGTCGAACACATGTATGTATAAGACACTGGCAATTTTCGGTTGATGTTTGTTTGCCACAAGAAGCAAACGGAACAGACGAAAGGTTATCGGCTATTGACTGGAGTTGCTGGGAACAAATATTATTAATAAATTAAGATTCATGTCATCCAACATCCAACTTTGAGGCTCCATTATGAATTAAAACCACGTAGCTTAATATATACGAATGGATGCTTAATTTAAAATTCTATACCTATTAAAACTTGTAGGTGTAACGTTTAATTTAAAATCGAGGTATATTTTCAATGAAATGAATTCTGCATAGAATTGCAGGCGACGATGCAGACGTCACTTTCGTGACCACTGACAATTGGAAAATCAGGAGAAGTGTTCAATCTAGTATTTGTATTCAAACCAACAAAACAAGAGACTCACCCAAAGACAGACAGCCAATATTTTCGCACTTAACCCTGGATGCCGACGAGTTTTCTCCAACGTCCTTAAATAGGCAGATTTTGACGAGATTGTCCAACTTCTTGCCTGTGGTCGATGTTCCTGTCGCAGAGAATGGTTATCTGGTCACGATTTTCCTTTTGTCCCAAAATTCTAAAACTGGTGTTGATTCTAGATTTTAATCTTAGATACTGCGTGTGTATTTACTCACTTGACACATACGAGCATGTACACATAAACTATATCCTATTTCCTAATTCACGTAAAATTATATAACTCTATAAACTAATGAGATTCAGCAAGAAATATGTAGTTACAATATTTGAGTATTCTGTTAAGAAATGCGTTGTGTAATCACTTTCTCATCACCAGTTTCTCACCACTAGACACAGCAAAAAGTCTAAAATTATTCGTTATTAATGTCTTTTTCGAACTAATCAAAATCCAGAACGTTAGGTTAACACCCGGCAAGGAAACGGCTCTTTAGTTCATCTGCATATGTACATGTGAACTTTATCGTTCTACGATATGCTACGAGGAGGAGACTTTTTGAAGCTGTCAACAACGAGTGAGTATTTTATTGCATGAATTGCTCTTCTTCTTCTGGTCCTGGTCTGGATGAAATGCAATGAAATGAATCTGGTTCACCAGTCAAAAACAACTTGGTTAATTCACCGAAACAGAAGAGAGAGCGTGCTTAAAATGATGCTCAGCGTAGTTTTTGTGTGGAGTGTGCGGAGCGTGGATGAGAACTGAGACAACTCCGACGACCACATCGCTTCGTGCAGCTTGGAAGGAAGGAACTTACTTTGGACGCTTGATTTCTGTGTGGGACAATCTTTCCTCGTCTCCCAGAAGGAGGCATGTTATGATGGGCTAGGTTCGACGACGACGAAATGCTACCAGCAGCAATTCGCCATAACGCAGACTTTTTCCATTGCCTTTTGTTAACCAGATTCACGTTCCTCGTCCATCACATGCATTCCTGGAAACTTTCACGTCTATTGAGACGAAGGGTGAGGAGAGCGCTTTGGGTTCGAACTCTGACTTTGGTGATAGCTCCCTTATTGCATCCAGCTAGGTTAAAGATGAAAGAAGTCAATTCATGATTTAGAAGGACATTTGAGAGTAAGCACCAATGTATCCACTACTGCTGGATGGCAAATCGATATCGGAATATTGTAGTGTGTGGGGAAATGAGAGTAGGCTAAAATGTCCAATTTGAGTCAGTATTAAATTCATGTAATGTAGACAGAGAGATGGGCAGAGAGGTTGTGGAATATGGACTTGTTTCATTGAATAGAAACCAATTTTCTCCTGTTCTCTTCTTGTGAAAGTTGTAACAGTGGAGTAGTTTATTCCATTTCAATCACTTGTCGGGTACTGCTCCGTCCGCAACTGAAGTGAGAAGATTTTCTCTCGTTTTAGACAGTTAACTGCAAAAAGTTTTGCGTTTAATAGTAAAATAAAATCCGAGGGAGAGAGAGAGAGACAAGATGAGATTGAACTGTTTTAAGCTCTGTCAAGCATCTTTTAAATAAGTTAAATATTGATGAAAACACATGCCAGAGTGAGAAGGATGAGTATAAAACTGCTGCACAGTGGCTGCTGGGCTGACTGGCACGAAACTGATAAAACTCTTTTCAAGTGGTTTAAGGGCATATTCCTCCACCATGGGAAGCAAATCAAATCCCTCTGCAAATCTGCTATTCATTGCTTCTCATTGAACAGCTTACAATTGGTTTTCAAAACTCATATTAAAAGAGTTCGTAGGAGAGAGAAGCGTCGTGAGCTTCATTAACTCTTCAAGATAATATATCTCCATATACCGTGTAAACCATCATACAATGACAAGGAAAGGTATGCAACTTTGCTGGCATTAAAATGCAAATTAAAAAACTTTGTTGCTGAAGCTTCACGTTGGCTAACAACTTGTCCTGTGTTGTCTATGTAGTATTTCCCTGAGAATAATCATCGCTTCAATGAGAGTGCGTACATATGCACATGTACATCACCATTGCATTGGTCGGAGAGATTCTCTTCTTTTTTTCGTGATGGGATTTTGGTCTGGCACTGAATTAAGTGTCAGTTAGCTCATTCTCTGATACAATGGACAATGAAAAATAGAAATGGATTATCGGCCGGCTTGGATTATCGGCTTACAGTATCCCGAAGCATATAGCAGATAATCACGGCATCACCGTTGACTATGTTTCACGATTTGCTAAGCCATCGCACATGCAATTTATGTTTACCAAGAGCTAATTGCAATGCGTGCATATGTATTTCAAAGTAGCAATTAATCGATTATCGTTTATTCTTCAAAAGAAACTACCGCTAGTTATCATTATTAGCCAAATAACAGCAAAATTGTACACACAATCCTAAAAATAAGTCTATATCACTTTTATAATGAGATTTATGTACAAGGTCACTGGGATATAAATAGCACACGTTTAACCATTTAATTTAAGATTGGAAGAGCATCTTGTGTACAAGTATTTTTAGTTTAGTTTATCACAACAATTCCAGCCTTCCGATTAACACTGACTGACTCAACTAACTGGGATATATGATGGGAAAACATCTCATTCCAACTTTATGCCTCGAGCAAATTCAAGTAGTATGGATATACCGTGCGAACTCGAGATTTTTATCACACGCCGTATATGCTAGACGTGACAGTTTATCAAAGACTTATGTTTACTAACTGGTATTTAAAAATACATATTATACGGACAATGGGGTGGGAAACTTTTTTCGATGCGAACTAAGGCACTTGGTAGTACAAAATATGTTTTGATTATATTCAAATGGTACTTTTCCAGTCATATCGCAAGCACAGTCAAAACATCGAACAAGAACAGGCAGTTCTTCCTTATTCCTTTTACATTGTGCTAAAATGCGTTGCTCAGCTGCCATTGCCCTCTAAATAATTAAGTTAAACGTGTGATTATATAGACTTACAGTGCAGGAATATGGCATATTATGTATTTTACCTTTTCTCTGTCACTCAGTTTCAAAAACCGTTCTTGATCTGCTTGTTCCTTGTCCTTTTGATGCTTTTCCATTTTTTTCTGTTTCTCTTTTTCCCGTTTAATTTTATTTAATAATTTCTTCTTTTCAGCCTTTTCTGCTTCCATTTCTGCAGTCAACGGTGTCGGAACTTGAGCCTAATTAGCAAACACACACAATACATACAATGCAAGATAAGTACATTCTAAAACCTCATCGTAGCAACTTATCAGATTTGCTTACCATTTTATAATCATATTTATCCGGAAACTGACCCATAAATCGCCTAAATTCTGCACGACTTTCTGGATTGTTTGCAAAACTATATGGGACTCTTCCATTCTTATTCTTTGTAGCTGGATCACAACCCAATTCTAGTAGTACCCTGAATAGTACAGTTGCAAGGTTTAAATTTAGGATATTGGGGAATTATTGTAAAACATTATGATTTTACATACCAGATAAGTACAGTAGCATTCATCTTTGCAGCTAAATGTAACAAGTTTGACTCGTCAGAGTCCACAGGTTGATTCAAATAGGCTAGAAATTCGTCGTGAGTCGCTTCAGACGATTGAAGTTTTAGTGTAGCAATGTGGTTACTCAGTTCAACCGAATTTTGAACCACAGCATCCATCAGACATCCTATAACTCCATCAGGCTTTGGAAATTGAACAGGTTTGGTTTTTGGTTTCTTAGATCTCTTTTTGATTCTTTCCTGTCTTTCTTCAATTGTCAAACTATCGTCAAACTCCTTAAAATGAAATAGATCTTTGTAGTGCACGTCGATGAACATATTTATAGTATCTCAGCTATTTGCATTTGTCTTATAGTTGAAAACTTACTTTTAAATGATTAAAATTAACTTCCTCTAAGCATTCTTGTAACTCGTCATTACAGTCGCTTGAATCACTATTTTCACTATTTATTACGTTAGGACAAGGGTCATCTTGAACACGTTTGGGAGATTTTGATTTTGCTCTGTCTATTTTCTTTGTTTTCTTTGGGCTTTTGCTAGTAGGAGTTTTGCTAACCAAATGTTCTGATAAAAATTGTTCCCTGTCATCTAAATAGTAAAATATAAAATTAGTATACAATTAACAATAAAAATTAATATTTTATGATCATGAAACACTAACCATAAACATGTAAAGTCGTCAACAAAGACTGAACACGCTTTAGTTCCAAAAATGTGGGTCGATTCGTTGGAAATGGGATGGTTCTGAGCCTTTGTTCACTGCGTTGAAATAATGGAGACTTTCCACCAAATAAAACATTTGAACTCGAACCAACAGCTCTGTAAAATATGACTGGACAAGCAGATACACGTCCTTTCCACGCTTCCATGAGGTCTTGCACATGCTTTCAGATACAGAAAATATTAATATCATACCACATATTTTTAACATCAAGCTAGGTAATAACATAATTAATTCAGTTTTTAATGCAATAATGAAAACTCACCTGGGCAAACGATTGCTCATTATACCGTCTTAAACTAGCACCAGCAGATTTTGGGTGATTTGTTCCACTTTTAGAATCCCGAGAACCTTGTGACCCACCTTGCTTAGCTCTAACAGTGTAACTGTGAAAAGTTTTGTGCAGCAATATTTGGCTTCCTTTGAGTATAAAAAAGTCCGTACATTGAAAATTAAAACTTTAATCTCTTTTAAAATGTTGGACTCGGGAAAATTACCTTGCATCACTGCTGCGGCAAAGTGACCCCCACTAACCTGGATTTTCAAAATTTTTATTAAAATCCGTCAATGTTTTATTCGTATTATTATTAAAAGTTAGATGCGTGTAAATATTTCCGTACCATAATAATTGTCATATTTAAAGGATTTTCATAGTGCTTAGAGAACTGGAGCATATCTCTATTTTTGTTTTTGTCGAATAAAACCTGTTGAAAATAGGCAAACATCACAGTGAGTTGAGTTATGGCGTCTAATATATCGGTGTGCCTAATAAGCACGATATTACAGATAGACATAATTTTGAAATAACCTCAGCAATAGATTTGTATATCCCAAATATACACCCATTTTCATTTTCATAGTAGGTTTTGGGGGAATTTATTAACTTTGCATTCTCTGATGATAATTTCGACTTGCAAGTCCCATCAGATTCTTCAAGTATTGTTGTTCTGGAAATTTTGTCCATGAGCTTTGATACTGCTGCTGATTGATCATTCCCAGCAATTGAGTCGTCTTCAGAATCTGAACCCTCAATGCTGGATAAATCATCTGTGGGCAATATGTAAAAAACGTTGTATAACGTGAATTCATAAATAAGGTAGCTAATTAAATGTGTGAGGTGACTATACCAATCATGTCGTAAAACTCCTGTTCTGATACTGATACCTGCCCCATAATTTTCATCTTCAAATTGTACCGATGCCAATCATGTTTGTTGTGCTGTCGAAGTTCTTCTATATCGTCCATAGTAATTTTACAACTGCTGCAGGTCAATTTCCCTTCTATCGGCTCAAACGACTCTTTCGAGATTGTAGTACTAGCAGTTGTATTGGTAGGCTCGTCATCATCTGACAGTTCAAACTGTAAGGCACCTCTTTCCTCATCGGCAGGTTGATTTGTTGTATCCTCATTATTGAGCTGGAATTCTGTCACTTTACACATGATCTTCAAAACTTCAGTTTTGTGGGATGCGTTATACAACTGTAAACGGCGATACTTTCCTTTCACTCCTTGTCTTTTCATCATTATTTTGCTGTTTACTTCCGTCATCCTGCAACCATGAACATTAACTTTTACTAATTATACAATATCAATATGAGCAGTAGCTCCAATAGTTAAAGAAAATACTTACGTGTTTACATAAAATATGAAATAAAATACTTCGATTCTGTTAATTATTATTTGTTATTTGAAGTTGACAAGAGACTCTGTTACTTGTTGGGCGGATAAGTGACGTTTGGAAGAAAGTGGAACCTTAATTTATAGCTTAATCGAAATGTTGAAACGATTTGTTAAACGTTTTTACGTTTATAAAACCAGATTTTACATTCCATGTGTGACGATGATGAGGAGTACTGGCTGGCGGCTGAGTTTTCTATGTCTTCGCTCGCATATATACATTTCGAGACGGAAGCCGTTCTTACGTGGAGAAAGCACATCAAGATTTTCCCATTTGGAATATCTAGACACTATGAAAACAATTAAGGACCATGAGCATGTATGTTTATGTATGTATTTGGTATTTATCCAATGCAATAAATATGAGTACCCACAATGAGGCTTAGCAGGTATTAAGCGGACAAATTCGTCACTAACAGTGGATGCACAAAAAAATTGTAAAATTTGGGTAACGCAAAACGGGAAGCAACTGAAAGAATTGGTGCAAAATGCACCAAAAATGCAGGATAACCGGAAGATATAATTATATAATTTTGTCATTAAGCTTTCATGGGTTTTAGACATCACAAATTATGTCAAAATTATGGATCTATTTTGCTCGTAACGTTTTTGCTGATAGTTGAACTGAATTTTGCCTAATTAATAATTACAGTTTTAATAATTGGATCACACGGGGTTTAGTGGAAAAATCGAAGAAAAAGTTTGCTTTATTTTGTCAATATTTCGAATGCTATCTGTCATTCATTATCAAGACATGGAAGATGAGAAATTTGCTACAAGATTTGACTTACAGCTTTGTTTTTGTATGCCTCTTTTTTATGTGCAAAATGTGAGAAACTTGCTATAGCTTAGTATCCCGTTCTCTTTAGTTTATGTAAGTCTTTAGAAATACATTTAGAAAGTACTTGAATATATGACCAACACTGTATCCTATTTTATTTAAAAAATACATAATATGTCATATTATATATTTATGAATAATTTCATGAAAAATCCCACAAACTAGGAACGTTATAAGCATTGGCCACGAATGTGTCACTAAAAAAAGCCTCTGACCATTCCAGTGGTGACTTGTCAACGTCAATATCAGTCGAGAAAAACCGAAGAACCCGATTTGTAGGGAGCCAGCAAAATACGGGAAGGAAGGAAGGAAGCATTCTCTGGCTGAGATTATTTCGAATCATTTGATATTCTTGGGACATGAGTTTCGTCCTTTTCGTGTAGGTGGCATGAAATTGTATGAATCTGGGAAATTCATGTGCAATTATTGAAATTGTAGTTAAAGAGGCAGTGGGATAATGTATAGCGTGTTTATCCATGTAATGGTCATTCAAACTTAAGGACAAGACCTCTCTGAACCTATACTTTCTTATTTAAAGTCCTTCCAGCCCCAACTTTTTTTGCATGTATAAAATAATTCAAACAATATTAACATAAAGGATCTGCAAGCGTAATAAAGCAAGATTGAAAATCATGACCGGAGAGAAATGCGTTGTGTGCTCGGTTTAAAAGTAAAAATTCATATTTTATCTGCGGAACAGTGAAGACAGTTTTAGTGGAAGCAAGGATGCTGAAAAGGCCATTTATTAGTTATAAACTTCCAGGAGAAGGGTTCTGAAATGCATTTTAGTTGGATTATTAAACTCGGTGTAAGCCAAGGAATAGTGTACTCCTGCTCCTCGTCATATAAAGTGTGGAGTGAAAACAATGATTAAATACGAGGAGAGAAACTTTAGTATTTCATTTCCAGTTTTTATTTCTCCAAGTTTTCCGACGAGCTCTGGGAGTAGAGGCTCGTCGTGGTTTAACACTGTCTGAATCTGAATGAATTTGTGTGGAAATTTATGGTTTCCACCCATTGTATGATGTGTTTTGGTGTGGAATGAATGTTGGTATTATTATACACACCCTGAGAGAGAAGAGCACTTTCCTCTCCTTCCACTTTTTATGCAAGAGAACTAGTTTTTTAGAAGTTTTTATATTATGGGAGGGAAATGAAACTTGGTGGCTGTTTCGGCTCCCTCGCATGCCACACACTCAAATTCAGCCCAAGATGACTTCTTCTTTTGTCAAACACCTCTCTCATTCTCTTTTCTCCAGTGCCACATCCAGGTGGTGGTGCTGCTGCCTTGTCATTACGACACCAGACCGACTCAGGGATGAAATTACCGATCTCCATTGTGAAGCCCTGCAAACCTAAAAATATTTGAATACAACAAAGAATCAGTGTACAAACGGTAGAATGTAAAGAGTATAGTGCTAAAAGTCATCCGAACCAAAATGTTTGGAAAATTGTAATAATGATATCATGTTATTTTAATATGAAATTTTAAAGCTAATTTTATTTGTACGGATCTTTTGACTTTGTCATCCACATGAAACTGCTTAAATATCTGTCCCGTTGGGGAAATAGACAACAATTTAGATGGCCAATTTATCAGCTCGCCATCCTCTATGGGAGAGCCGAGTGACATTACGCAATCTATACCCTTATACATGTATGTAGCCTTTTAGTGCCAGAATCAGAATCAGATAATGATAATGGGCAGAGTGGAAAACACGGAGAGATAAAGTCTAGAGAGTAGAAATCGGAGTTTGGTGGCAGCAGCATTTCTGGATACGACTACTGCCTGTTAGTCAGGGAATAAGTTCCATTAGCTAATAGCATTCAGAAATTACGAACCAAAGGACCAATGGACGAACCGGCGAAATGGACGAGCTGGAGTTGCCGTTACTCACATTGGAAACATGTAAGCGGCGTGGACCCAACTTGCATTGGTTTGATCTCAAGTTGATTTTTAATATGACTTTGGCTGGCTGGCTGGCTGGCTGGAGGAAATCCTCGATCGGGTGAAATACTTATGTACACATGGAGAATTACACTTGTCCAAGATTGGATTTGGGATATATGTATGTAGGAGCAATGAAGAGTCTCCAAATCCAAATGCAATTCATCCATCGGCATCTACAAAGTACCGGACATTCAGCAAATCATCACATGCATGCGAGGATGACATATCGTGATACTTGTTTCTCCCTGGTCGATATCCTATTTATCTTATGCATGTCATGTATGCAGTTTTCTGGTTCTTTGTTCTTCTCGTGACATGCATAGACTGGAATGAAGGAGGTTGGAGAGGAGGAGCAGAAACTGGAAGATGGTGAAGCAGGATAAAAGTCTTAGGGAAATGTGGGACCCCATCAATTAGACCAGTTTCCAATCCAATGGCAATATTTTCACCCAGATGCTGAGAAAGCATACTTTTTTCCCTTTTATAAGATATCTCTTTGCATTTCGTCCTTGTGCTGATAGGCTCAGGTCGTGAAGAAGCGGAGATGTATGATCTCGCTGTTGTCGACTGACGACTACTTAAGAACGGAGAAGAAGTGGGGAACTTTGCTGCTGCTTTCTCTCCTCATCCGCCCTCCTCGCCTTACACTCGTAAGCATTACCTCCACATTATTGATGAGCTAAAGGTTTCCTTCCTCTTTCCATATTTTCATTTCCGCTGTCCAGCCTCAGCTTAACCTTTGAGAGACTGAGCGATGCTTTCACCTTAATTTGGCTTAGTCCAAGATAATATGTCATTGTCTCACAGCCAAGATAAAAATGCTGACCATTTATTCCACCAATTAGATTAGTTGGTTCCCCGTAACGTCGAAGCCACATTGGTCGATAGAATGTCCAATTGGATTCCTTTCTGTGCCCAAGATTATTCTAGACGAGCCCAATCGACTCTCATGCATTTAGAACAACTTCGTGGATGTATAAAAATATATTAAGTTCAATTGTACAACTTGCAAGTTAATTACTGTATTTAATTTCTAACTTATTCCTAGTCGATAACATAATAAATTGAACATAATGTTAGTAATTTCAAATCGTGTATTATTATGAGTTATATCAGCCCATTGGGATAGTATTTTTAAACATGCATGTACATATTTATTTACGTAACATAGGAGCGAACGATAGACACATGAGTCCCACAAAGTTGAGTCATCACATCTGCATCTGCAAGACAAATAAAATTAAAGAACCAATAAATTCTCGTCCATCTTTTGTGTACATTCCAGTAACAGGCAGACGTAATTTCCACAATGGATTTAAATTACAATTGACTCTGGTGATGAGAACTAATACGAAGCCTTAATCTGGCCAGCAACTTCACGCTTGAGTCTGTCTAACTAATGAAAAATTAAAGCAGACAAGACGAAGGGAAGGAAAAGATCTGTTCATTGAAACCAAACACGCTATTTTTACATCCATCCAGCATACATATTTCATCACCAACAATGCAACTAATTGGGAAAAATGTACATAAGTGGGAGTTGGCTCGATCGTTTCCTTCGTGTAACATAATGGGGAGGAATACACACCAGTCGTGAAGCAGATCGTGTGCCCGACAGACGTTTTTTTCTTTCTTTGTGCACACATTACATGGTTAGTTCTGGTTAAAGTAATAATATTCTGTCTGGTGTGAAATGTATGGAAATCTTAATTACTCATAAATAAAGACTTGCGCTAGCCTGGGGTTGATTCAATAAATGAGAGAAGGTCTAAAGTTGAGCATTCCCGTATCCATTGTCTTACTTTGGGTCGTCCCCCTGGACTGAAATTAATGCCTCGCTGCTGCTAAATGGGACGTGATATACAGCAAGGGTGGAGGGTTGGATGACTGTCACTGGAGACTGAATTTTAACCGGAATGGGGGAGGACATTGAGGACTCGTCGTGATGTCTCATCTCCACCACTCTGTCCTCAACCATTGTTCCTCATCAAATCAAACGCCGGCACAATGCCCAAGCCAAAGATGTGATTAAAAAAGAGGGATTTCATATATGAATTCTAGACTTCACACTCGTCTTCCCTTCTCTCTTCTGAAACAAGAGGAAAGCGTGGATATTGTAATTCCACCACGGGAAGTGACTTCTTCGGGTATGTGGAGGGAGGGTGCGGGCGATGGGGGCCCACACCCTCCCTCCAGAGATAAAAGCGGAAAATTAGCAAAGCGAGAGAGGACGTTGGAAAGTGCTAATCTATGCAAATGAGTCAGGTCTACCCTGTTCGTGGGAATGAATGAGAGGCAATGTCTCCTGCACCTATTGTAACCATTTTAAATGCTAAGGACAGGAGCGCAAATGGTAAGAAGGACGAGGTTTTTAAGTTCTCTACACATGTATAAAGAGAGGGTTGAGCAATATCGCTCCGTAATCGTGTAAGCATCGAAATTAGAAAGAAAAATGACATCATAATCCAGCATCCACACGCTAATGTCACACATGGTACTGGTGCTTACGAGGAGTGCAACTCGTGCTACTTGCGCAACTAGATAATGCGCTGCATATATTTACTTGTAAAGTATTTTGTGAAACCTTTATGTTATAGACTTTTTTTCTGTGGGAGGGAGAACAATTAAACTTTGTGTAAAACAACAGTGTACTTGAAGCCTAGCAAACGTAGAAATGAACAGAAATATGTACACATGTATCAATGTGTATGAGCATAAAATCGCTTTAATTTTCATTGTAAAACGTATTGTAACCAGCTCATATTACAGTAAATCCTCCTGCAACAAAATAAACCTGCTTGTTTGAATGCCTTCACAAACCACATTTATTATTCTCACCTTTGTTCAGAAAAGAGCAACCCTCGATTCATTCAAGGTTTATAATCTCTACTTAAATTTC